ATTACTAACTGTTGGGTAACTCTAATCGAATAATGCACTCACTGTTCCAAAGTGTGAAGCGCAATTTTTTGGCAACAGGACTCAAACTGGAGATCCTCTGATTCATAGTCCGGCGCGCTAACTATAAGGCTATGCATACCCAACTCAAGATTCAGGTATAGCCATCTCTAATTGAGAGCTGTTGACCAGAGGGATTTCAACCAGTCAACAACACCAACCGCGTATGCCTCTATTCTTAACCAAGAAGCGAGACTGACTGTCACAATCATAAAGTCTCCATAGCTGATAGTGTGGAGCGTGTTCAGCGGCAAATCGCGACTCGCACCTTGGATCTTCCAATACGCATCTCGGCACGCCCAGCCACTAGTAGACAGAAGAGTAGCTGGTAAATTAAAGTTCTTCAGTTGAAGCTACTTAAGCAGGTGAGTTAAAAACAACTTAGTGATCGTTATATTTAACCTGAAAACATATTCGATGAAATATAAAAAGTTAGTCACATTATAAAAACGCCTACAGTATTCATATAAATAAACATTAATATTATATAATAAAAAACAACTAATAACAACAGCCGTTTTCAGCATAAAACATCAATAATTTTGTTACAGATGTTTTATAAGAAAGCTAGCAAAGGACATAGTTGTTAATTCATTCCTTTAGTGTGTTTTTTTTTTTTCGTCCCCAGATGGATCAGTGGTAAGTTTACGAACTTACAAGTCTTGTGTTCGATTCCCCGGGATGGACGAAGCGCAGACAGTCTATTACGTAGTTTTGCGCTCAACAAACACCTTTTTGTTTTTACGAAAACAGATGACCTGCAAATATGATATAGTTTTCTCTAGATGTTTTATTTAATACAATCTTTTTCATGGTTTGGCTGGTGTTAAACATGTTAAGATCTTACGTGCACAAGAACAAGTACAATAAAATTCACATAAGTTTTTATCGGTTGTAGTAAGTAAGACTTTTGTTTACTTTTACTCACAACGTTTCACCATCAAAAGTTTTACTATGCACAACCGATAAGAATTTGTGTGAATTTTAAAAACATAGTTCATTCTACTATTTAAGTACAGTAAAAGTTAGATAGCTGATACTTTATGAAGTCGCATAAATACATATTCAATCATGCAATGTATTTTCACTTACCTGTTTTTCTTCGGTCGCAACCAGAATAATGATATCGTTACCACAATGGCCAAGTTTCCATATTTTGCGCAGGTTCTCGGCAAATTCAAACACAACCTTCATCTGAGGTTCACTAAAAGAAAAGACACAACGAATACAAACATGTTTCTGCTGCTTTAGCACCCAAACAGTTTTTATTTATAGTTGTCAAAAGACAGCCGTCGCCTGTGAGGTATTCATAACAAAAGTCACTTAAGTTTCAGAACCAGTTGCATGGAGAAAGGGTTCTTCTGACATTCTCATATCACAAAACTGAACTACCCATAACTCTAGTTGCCAGGAAGTTTCTTTAACCAATGATTCTTATAACAAGGAACAAAACTTATTCTAGTCCGTGAACTTAGTTCCGAAGTAAGAAATGTTAACAGTGTGTTATATTGACGAATAATGTTTACCTATATATACATGTACCTAGAACTCGGTGAAGAGCGTTCCCTTGTGGCGGTCAAAAATATAAAATAACTTACATATCTGTCTCTAGTCGTCTGTACAAGTATGCTTGCGTAATATTGCCCGTATAATGAAATATTTCTACCATGACTATTTCTCATGCTTGTTATACAGGCTTAAATCACATGTTTTGTTTTATAAATTTGTGTAAAATTCTGTTTCTCCTGTAAACAGAAGTTAGTTGTTCGCATTTTGTTATATAACTTACGTATTGTATACTGTAACATCTTAAGTTACGCCACTATTTAAAAGTAAGTTCTTTTTAAACGGCCTTATTTGTGGACTTCAATGACAAGAGAGCCTCTACATAAAAGAGCTTACTCGTTCATAAGCAGGATTGAAAATGAAATTATCAACATAAAAACGCTTACAGCTGAAAGGACAGAACGTCTCGAAACCCGGACCATTTGATCCGCAGCCCGACACGCTAATTACTAGGCAAAGCCCAGTTCTTATTAGTAAGCAGAAGCCGCAGCTTAACCAAGTCATTTAAGCACAAGATTTGTTGCTTAAATTATAAAACACATAAAAAAGAACTATCGTTTCGTTATGTTTTGAGTTTCATTTCAGTTTTATTGAAAATTAAACACCCTGACGTACTTGTACGGACGAAACATCTTCTTCATCAGGGCTACTCCGACGGTGAATCCTCCGACTGATTGTTCTGGACACTGTTGGCAGACACAAACAGTTATCTTCTGGGTCCGAATCATGATTTCGTTAAGCCTGTCAGCTGATTGAAAAGAGAACTATTATTATGAAATCAGTATTTAAAAACTGCCGCATAAAAACCAAAACATTTTTATTTTTAACATTCTTCCCCATTGATGTAGTACCAACTGTATTTTCTTCTAGGTAGGATTCTTTTAGATCAAATTTCTACATTGGGAATTCCTCGCTAAATTTTCATATTATCCTTTTATGAAAGATTCTGAGCCTTTGGGAAGATTAGTAAATGATGATTCACTAGTATGTAAACGAATGATTAATTCTTAACATCATGTTTTGATTTCAAGCATACGCTGTAGACGCGTGACACTATCCTGTACACCTGAGACAGTATAAACTCAAAATATTCAGCTACTGTGTAGAATTAAAAATTAGCTGGAACACAAAATAAGTAATTAGAAAATAATAACCTGAGTATTTTTGGAAGGTAGGCATCGTCTCTATAAGAATGAAATGGGAATGAGAAGAAAGTTTGAAGTTTAGTGAGATGATTTTTCAGTGCCGTATCAGGTATGTATAGCAGGTGTCCATGATAAATGGAATTATTTAGGTTGGCTTTCATGGTCATTTGTGTTTTTTTGTTATCATCGTGGAGTTGGAATGCCAACCTTAGAACACTGGTGATTTATCTTTAATAACCTATTGAACACACATGTACTCGTAGTTTTTGTTTTAAGTTGTTACCACATATGGGGCTTATGAATAGAGATTAGGGCACGACTTGGCCCTGTGGTAGAGCTATGGATTTATTAGCTGGCGAGCCAGGTTCGAATCCATGCAAATATCACAAAATATTCTCCTCACTTTAAGGTGATATGCGTTATGAGAGTGACAGCCAATCCCTTAGTGTGAGTGGTGGATGGTAGGGTGCAGCTGCTGACTGGCTTCCTTCTTATCAATAGATCAAAATTATGCACGGTGGCAGATAGCCTTAGTAGCTTTGTTTAACATTAAGAAATGTTAAATACAATGAACTAATACATTCTAATCGTTACAGGTTTCTTTTAGATTGGTAATTTAAATTCGTTATACTATTCGTTAAGTTTGATTTCAATCTATATAGGTAGATTTCTGAGATCGAAAGTTACTAATGATAAAAACTGACGGTGTTCCCTTACAAGATGGATAGTTTTACTCCTTCAGATACCTGTCTCATTAGTTTTATTTAACAGCCTAATTCTAAACACAACATTGTGTTGTTTTACATTATGAACTTGGAAGAGTTTACATCAAGTGTTTTGTAGGTAATGAAATTTTAACTGTTTTACTAGATTACTCGAGAAATGGTGAATGTAATTAATTAAGTTTTTGCACGCCATAATACAAGTGTATTTTTCACCTGGCGTAAGATAGATCGTGAGGTAGAGATCTATTGTATCTCATGAAACAGGTAAGATAAACAAACATAACAGAAAATGGGAATGAAAGATTTGATCAGGACGTTTCAATACGTCTTTTTTTATAACTTCACTGAATTATCCGTGCAAACAAAATTTTCTTAGTGTAATGATTTAGTTAGATGTGTAATAAATATTAACAGATTAAACTTACACTAGTAATGAATTTAAAAAAAAGCTTTGTTTGTTTTCATTAGAGCAAAGCTACATTGGGCTACCTGCTGTGTTCAATGCGGGAAATCGAACCCCGTATTTTAACATTGTAAGAAATACTTCATATACAATTCCCAAGATGTCACCTCACTACCTACTACCAATGTACTTCTTCACAAACGGTTAACCAGAAAAACAATTTTTGCCTCTTATTTAAAAATACTGTTAGGCTAAATAATGATGAATATTAGACAACTAAAACGAAACCTGGAATATATTTATTTACAAAATTACATACATCTATATGTAAAAGTTAATTTTCCTAATTTATAATTTTCACCTTGATACTTCAATAAAATGCTGTCAGGGTCGCAGATGAAGGACTTCTGAGGACGGTTGCACTTCTGCGGATCTGTAAGAGGGTTGGGATAACTGGTAACTGTCCATATGTCCTCGTCAGCAACAGTCAAGATCATCAACAAATTTGTCACAAGGAAACAGTACAGCGTGGCGACCATTTTCAGATCTACAGTACATCAAATATATATATATGCATAAAACATACATTTTCTTGGTTTTCATTAACTATAACGTGATTATAATCATGGTTATTAATTTTATATGTTATAACTTTTTGATGTTATTGATGGGTAGTTTTTTAGTTAATGTGTATATTTTCACATAGTTTTGGGTCTGCAGTCACGTCTTCAACCAGTCTTTGACAGCACGTTGCAGTAAAGTTTCTGGTGTGTTACAGGATAAAGCACGCGAGTTCCTTACACCCTTTTCATTTATTCAATAAAGCACAGGTTCAATGTTTCTAATTTAAAGCCCTTTCTTTTTAAGATCGACTGCATCAAAGTAATTTTTTCAAAGGTTCAGTAATGGTTTTTTTTTTAAACCTCTTCCAAAGATTCGTCCCAGTTATCTTATTTTTATAGTTTGTTTGGTATAAACGAAGCAAGCACAAGTGAGCACTTTGGAAAATACTCTGGAATTGTACCAAAACTGATATATAACTGACATATGTAAAAAAGACAGTTCCTGAGATCGACGTTCAAGTATTTCAGGAGACATAACGTTTGGTGAAAACGTAAGAAACGCCATTAGAGGAGAGATATGTGTAAATAAAACAATTTTTGTGCAATGATGGTTAATAATGAGACTACAATTAAACACTGAACAGTAACAAAGCACCAAATAAACTTTTACAAAGATATATGAAATGCGACCGCATGTTAACAAGGTATCCTCTCTCTTTCATTTCTTTGACACAAAACCCGTAGTAAAATCTGGTAAGAGAAGTTGGATTGAAATATCCCGATCACCCATACTGTATCTAACTGTAATTCCTTTTTGAAAGCCCGTATAGCGAGCTTCTCTCTTCGTAACATCTTGACTCCAACTAGATGGTGGTTAACGAAAGAAGCATCATTATGAGAAGGTTCGGGCTTATGTCTTTTCTTCTGCTTGATATGTTTCATAAACACCTTAGGTAACCTCTTAATCGATGTCGTTAAAAATTACAAGTTATTTTTATAGATTATTATTTATTTATGATGCATACCTTCAGAACTTTGCCGCATAAAGTACCCTACCCAAAGGTGTAGTGGAGTGAACATGGGGTGCCTGTATTTTTTTTTTTTTAGCCTGAACACCGTACTGCCACTGTTTTGAACGAATCCCACCTATCACGATTATGCAATAAATTTCGCGTTCCGGCACTTCTTTATTTAGCACTATACCACTGCTCCTATACTAAGGTAAGAAGTGTCACTCCAAGAAAGTAGTGCCAGTCTTCTTTACAAATATTTATATTAATCCGTAGGTAGAAGTCACGAGAAGAGATGAGAAGACTTAACTATTCAAAAGTTTTGCATCGGTATTAAAATTACAAATATAATTTAAGACAGCCTAAAATTCTTAGCGTTTAAAATAGAAACCAAATAAAATTATAATAAGCAGAGAAAGCAAATAAAGTAAATTATGTTACGTTTTGGGAGATAACAAATTTAACGTTATTGAAAACTGTTTGTGGTGGGGTTATAGTTGGCTACATCAGTCAAATACTAATCCATAATGTAACTGAGGCATTCTTAAAATCAATTGTAGTGTTTTCACCTTGCAATGTTACTCTTGATATTCATCCATGCTGAACATCCATATTCAGCTAGTTCTAATTGTTTTTCCACAGTTTTTAAAAGTTGCGCCTACGTTGCACATAATATAATTACTAATTATTCTCACTTTACCAACCCCTTTTCTTAATATCTTTAACAAATTTTCTTCAGGATAATGCATTACTGTAAATCAGTTCATCCTAAAAGTTTTTTTTTTATTTTGACTAGTGTTTGTTTGTTTTAATTATGCAC